ATGAATGCATGTATTTGCTCTCACTTTAGGGGTGTATTCAATTAGGATTTTTGAAAATTTTGATAGATTTTTTTAAATGGCGACTTCTTTGGATTTCATAGGTCTTTTATAAGTTTGTATGGAATTTATGGAAATCTTTCATAAACTTCAATGGGCTTTCATTTTAGAATTTTTATAGATTTTTGTAGAATTTAAACGACTTTTGAAAACTTTCATTATAAATAAAATTCACGTGGATCTAATACAATGGTATGAAATTCTCACATATGAGGTGCTGGTTTTGACAATTTCCCTTTTCCTTCATAAAAATTCAAGACCTTAATTAATTAAATAATAATCAAAATTATATATATATATATATAAACAATAAATTTAATATTCAATATTATTAATATAATATACTTTTAAAATAAATAAAAATCAATATATTTAAATTTAATTATAAATTTTTTGTATAAAATTTTATAATTTAATAAAAAAATAGATATTTTTCACAAAAATGAATGAAAACAGAAAAAAAATTACAAGAATCCAATTTAACTTTTTCATAGAAAATAGAGATAAACAATACGAGAGAGAGAAAGATAAATGAAAATATATATAATTAATTAAAATAAAATTTTGTTCATAGGTCTAATATTTGTAGAAAAAAAAAGGAGAAAAAATTGGAAAAAAAAATCTCCCAAATCTTGTAATTAATGATAGAAAAATTTTCAAATTTTATATAAGTACTTTCTGCTTAAAAGTTAGTACTCCAAAAACTTTTATAAAAATCTCTAAAAGTCATTAAAATTTGAATGCCCTGAAACTTATAGAGATTTCTAAAAACGTTCTAATTGAGTACACAGTAACTTTTAAAGACTTTTTAAAAGTTTATAAAAATCTCAATTGAATACATCGTGACTTTTAAAGACTTCTTAAAAGTCTCAACAATCATGCTATAAGTACAAACAATTTTGATAGAAAATATTTATAGACAACACTTGGCATGTATTCAATGGAAGATGAAAAAATTAAAAAAGAAATAAGTGAATCACATTTTCCCAAGTCAGCTTCGATAATAAATCTAACAAAAAACTTTTGCATTTAAGGCTTTTTTCAAGTCTCAATTGAATATTTCAATATTTTTAGAGAATTTCAAAAAGTCTACATTGAATACTCCTAAACTTTTTAAATCCCAAAAAGTTATTAAAAGTCTCAATTGAATACACTCATTAAGTGTTGACTAGTTATTGTCATTTCATATTCAAAAACAGAGATTCGGGAATGTTACGATCTATTCAATCAAGAGACGATCTATTCAATCAAGAGACAATTAATAGTTCCAAAATCAAATATTATTTTCCTTATGAGTGAAGACTAGACCTGTAGAAGAATTTCAATATGGATCTCATGCACACCTAAAAGCATCAAGAAGTATCAGAGTCGACAAATATATTTAGTTTAAGTCTTACCAACACGTATACAATTATGAAAATTTTGCACTTTTCAATCCATTGTAAAGAAATGAACTCTGGTTGTACCACGAATTTTGATTTTCTCATGCTCGAGGTGTAGTGTGGTGTATTGAAATGAAACTAAAGAAACGCTTGGCAGTAATCAAAGTCATTAAGAGATTTGTAATAGGCTTTCACCAAATTTGTGTCAAACCATGGTTAAAACATACTATTCACTCTTTTTTGAGTTATTGCACATCAGTTTTGCAGCTAGATTGCTCTTTAACGAGTATTATGTTACAATTAGTCTCTTCAAGTCAGTATGTCTAACGAGACTTCCTTGAGGAAGAAAAGCTTGCTCTTTATCATAGCTTTCAGATTAATATAATACAACTCACTTTTCATATGCTTTGTCAAATAAAAACTCTCTCTCTTTGGTGCTAGCCAACATGGACTTTTCGGCATCTATGTTTTTAGATTTTTTTTTTTTTTTTTTTTTTTTTTGGGTATTTTAAGAATCAAATCACATCAACCTAGACTAGAATCACCCAATATAATTCTAAAAAAATCCTGTCGATCTGAATTTGCTTCTGCAGGAAATTCGGTACGAAGGAAGAAACTTCGAACAAAAGGGTTAGGAGATTGGATCTAACCGTAAGAAGAATGCTTGGTATAAATAACTCACTTCTTAGAAATGAGTTCCTGGATATCCAATCTTATTTGTTCTCATCTATGTTCATTGTGTAATACAAGTAGACTGTAGTTGTTCATTCACTCACACAAGTAGTACTTGCAAATTTAATTTTGTGCAAGATCTGTTAATAGAAGTCTTCCCATATTTATGACTTACAACTTACACTTTTTTGTTGCATATAATTCTAGAGGTTAGGTTGAGATATCTTCCTCCTTTTATATTAATTTTTCTAATCCATAGGACCATAGACGAGATTGTTGAGTTTAATTCAAATTTATAAAATAGAAAAGTTCTATTAGGGAAATGAAGAAAAAATTCTTGTCTGGTAAGAAAAAGAAAAAAAAAATGGAAGTTTGTCAATTGAAAGAGAAATGACTCCTAGTAGTACAATTCAGAAAATGATATTGAGTAAATTTAAGACTAAGAACCCCTCTCTTCAATAAATATTTTTATATGGATGAACTACATAGCACGACAACAAATATCGAAAATGATATTGAGACAGCCATATTTTTCATAGTTCGAGAGAGAAATCATAGGAAGAAAAACAAAAAGAATATAATTGAAATGAGGACAATGATATACTCTTAAAGTTGGAGAATAAAGGTGAAGAAACAAAGAGAGAGAGAGAGAGAAAAAAGAAGAAGAAGCAAGACAATAGAATTTGGAATAGACATATTCTCCAAAGTTGACAGAAAATAAGAGAAAAGAAAGTAGCTAATAGAAATTGGAATAATCATCTTCACCAAAGTTAGAGAGAGAAGCATAGAAAAGAAAGCAAAGAATAAGATTGCTATAACCATTTGTGAAGAAAAAGTAAAGAATAAAAATTGGGATAACCATTTGAGAAAAGAAAGCAAAGAATAAAAATCGCTATGGCCATTTGTGAAGAAAAAGTGAAGAATAAAAATTGGGATAACCATTTGAGAAAAGAAAGCAAAGAATAAAAATTAAAGAACATAAATTGGCATAACCATTTGAGAATAACCAAACAACTGCAAACTGCATTCAGTATATTTGTCTTTTCTTTCTCTCCGAAATCAGTAAGTCACACACACAACAATCCCAAAGCAAGACAATGGATGCTGTTCTTAGTGCCACCATTCAAGTCACAGTGGAGAAGTTGCTTGCATCCGCCACAGCAGAGTTGAGCCTGGTGAGGGGTTTCAAGAAAGACTTAGGAAAGCTAAGTGATTCGCTACAAATGATCAAAAAAGTGTTGGAAGATGCTGGGAAACGCCAAGTTACCGAGGAGGCTGTCAAACTCTGGTTCAAGAACCTTCAAGATGTTGCTTATGATGCTGATAACGTCTTGGATGTGATCAACTATGAAAATTTGCATCGAGAGATCCGGAGCCAGAAGATGCCAAAAGTGTGCTTAGACTTCTCTTTCTATAGGCCTTTGGCATTCCGATGGAAAATTGCTCATAAAATCAAGGAGATAAATGTCAACTTCGAGGGTATATACAAACGAGCTCATGACCTTGGCCTTCGGAAAGTTGCTGACATTTCTCTCTCTGTGCCTCTGGTTATGGAAACTGATAGCATAACTGATGATCCAATTGTCGTGGGAAGAAAAGATAATGAAGCAGAAATTTTGAAGCTGATAACCGACACAAACGATGCGGATATTTCAGTCCTTCCCATAGTTGGAATGGGAGGGCTAGGCAAGACAACCTTAGCTCGATCGGTCTTCAATCATCAAAGCACAAAGAGTCTTTTGGACGAAAGGATCTGGGTATGTGTTTCTGAAAATTTTGATGTGATAACGCTTTTTAAAAGGATTCTGGAATCCTTAAGAGAAAGTTCTCCTGGAGCCAGCAGGCAAGCTGTTGTGGATAAGCTTCGAGAGAAATTGGGAGGAAAAAAATACTTACTTGTTCTTGATGATATTTGGAATGAAAACAGGCAATTTTGGGATGATTTCAAAAATACTATGGCTGGAGTTAACCCCAATAAAGGAAATGTCATCATGGTGACTACACGTCATCTAGAGGTAGCATCAATTGTGAAAGCTTACAGAGATCCATACAACTTGAAACAATTAAAAGATGATGAGTGCTGGTCTATAATCAAAGCGAGGACCTTTCGAGATGCAGAAGTACCAGAAAGATTTGAGCAAGTTGGGAAGGAGATTGCTTGCAGATGTGGAGGTCTACCATTAGCAGCAAACATGGTCGGTGGAACGTTGCAAGGAAAGCAAGTAGATGATTGGGATTCAGTTCTAGCGACCGGGATTTCAAATCTTGATCATAAAGCAAATCAAGTCAGTATGATGCAAATCTTAAAGATAAGTTTTGATCGTTTATCTTCTCCATTACTTAAAAAATGTTTTGCCTATTGTTCAATATTTGCCAAAGATTCAAATATAGAGAGAGATGATTTAATCCAACTCTGGATGGCGGAAGGATTTCTTCCGGATAATCATGATAATAATATGGAGAATTTGGGCAATTCATGTTTTAACATTTTGTTGCGAAATTCGTTTTTCCAAGAGGTTGAAAAGGATAATTATGGAAATATCGAATATTGCAAGATGCATGATCTTGTGCACGATCTTGCATGCTCAGTTTCAAATTCAGAAAGCTTTGATGTCGAGGATAGCTCTGCTGATGACATTCCCAAAGTTAGATACCGTGCAAAGGAATTGCTAGCAAGGGAAACACGAGCATTCACAAAAGAGAAAGCAAGTTATTTGCGCACATTATTTTCCAGCAGCAGCTTACCTGGCAAAAAATTGCCATGGTTCAAGCACCTGCACATTCTAAAGTTTTGTGACCAAGACATTGAAGAATTGCCAAACTCAATTAGAAAGTTGATATATTTGAGATATCATGATGCATCCAGAAATGAAATGAAAACTTTGCCAGATTCGATTTGCAAGCTCTACAATTTGCAAACATTAAGGATTGAGGAATGCTTCAACTTTCAACGGCTTCCAGATAGGCTATGTGACTTGAGAAATTTGAGACATCTCTACTTTTATTCTTATGAGAGAGATTTCCAGATGCCGCCTAAAATCGGAAAATTGCCTCGTCTTCAAACATTGCAGTTTTTTAATGTGGGTGACAAGGAAGGCTGCCGAATCGAAGAGCTAGGATTTTTGAAGAATCTAACAGGCAAACTGGAGATGCGTAATCTTGAACTAGTGAATGGTATAGAAGAAGCTAAGAAGGCAGATTTGGTTGGAAAGCCAAAGATATATAAGTTAAGTTTTATGTGGACAACATACAATGTCTCAGAAGACAGCAACAACGATAAAAATGTCCTCGAAGGGCTCCAACCTCACCCGAATTTGAAGAGCATAACAATTGAAGGGTTCAGAGGTACGAACTTCCCATCATGGACTATGAGAATGGAAGTATTCCTTGATGGCAATGGTTGGTTAAAACTTGATAAATTGATCGAGGTCAATTTCACAGATTGCAAGAATTGTGAAGAAATTCCCATGTTTGGCCACCTACCACTCCTCAAATATCTTTCCTTAACGGATTTGACTAATGTAAGATCCATAGGTGATTCATTCTATGGTGGCCAAGAGACAAGAGTAATGTTCCCAAAACTTGAAAAACTCACTCTAGGGAACATGCCAAACCTAACAGAGTGGGCAGAAGCTGAGGTGATGGAAACGGCACAAACACGAACATGCAAAGAGCAGGTATTTCCTTGCCTTGAAGTTTTGAAGATTCAACGTTGCCACAAATTGAATACTTCTCCAAGTCATTTCCCTTGCTTGAAAAAATTGGAGATTGATGCTATGGATAGCGATTTTCCATTGACAAAGATTTTGAGTAGCAACAACCTAACTTCTTTGGAAGAGCTCTCGATCAAGAATATATCAACGCTCACTTGTCTTCCCCACTTGAAAGGAAGCCAGATATATCTCCGAAAGTTGTATATTGGAAATTGTGACAAATTGAGAGAATTACCTGATGATCTGCACAGCTTCCGGTCTCTTGAGTCTTTGAGAATAGAAAAATGTCCAAGTCTACAATCAATTTCATGTCAAATTGGAAAAAAAGGTCCCCCTTCTCTTCGACGGTTTGAAATTAGTAATTGCTCTGATTTGAGTAGCCTGCCAAGTGAAATGATTCAGTCCATCAGGTGTCTGGAGTGTCTAGTCGTGACTGCTTGCGACAAACTCGTTTCTTTTTCTATAGACTTGGGGATAATGCCTTGTATCTCAGTATTATCTATAAGAGATTGTAGTGAATTGAGGAGTTTGCCCAAGGGAATCGACTATCATAGCAACTTAAAATCTCTCTCCATTGGTAGATTCTCAAAATCAATTGATTTCAATTCATTCCAAGCTGCTCTCGATGGCATCCAACAATCCAAATCTCTTTGGAATTTGTATTTATATGGTTGGGAACATTGGGACTCATTGCCGTACCACCTTCAACATCTCACTTCGCTCGAATGGTTGATTTTAAATGGTTTTGGAATTGAAGCATTGCCAGAGTGGTTTGGGGGTCTATCATCTCTTAGATTTTTAGAACTGATTGACTTAAAAAAGCTTAGGCATATGCCCTCTAAAGAAGCCATGCAACGTCTCACCATGCTAGAAAGTTTAGAAGTTTCAAACTGTCCATTGTTGGAGGAGAGGTGCAGGGAAGAGAGAGGCCCTGATTCTGAGTGGTCAAAGATTTCACATATTCCTCACATACTTGGAATGGACTGACGTGATTAAAGAGGCATGATTTGCTGATAGTTGGTAAGTAATTGAGCAAAAACCACTTAAGTTTTCATTATTTGTTTTTATTATACATTATAATGTTTAACTGTATGTTGTAAATATAAAATAAATATGCCTAAGCAGTGTTATTAATTGGCAAATCATCTTGTGTATTTCACATTTTTACACTTTTAGGTTGCTCTCTTTTGGCGCACTACTGCTGCCACTGGAATTTATTTTGCCTTCTTTTTTACTAGCTACTAAATTAAACTCTATTTTTATATGAAAAATATAAGAAATACTTCTACATCGAGAAACCCATCCCTAAATAAGTAAAATTAGAAAATCATTCCAAAAAATAGGGATTGCGACGAAAATTGCAAGGCTAGTTCCCTCAACTTTGATTCGTCTCCAAACTTTAAATTGACTTTTAAGGCTGGTGACATTGAAGATTTAATTCAAATTTGAGGATGAATCAGTATGAGATATCGAACATTGAGGACTATCCTGATTCACAACATCCTTAATATATCTAGTTGTAACACCGGCGTAAATCACTCAGGTATATATAATATTTTAAGTGAGAAATTCCTAATTTAGCAAAACGACAACGGACAAGTTTGCCATAAATGAATAACTCAAGGTTATTTCTGTCAATACCAAAAAACGCTGCAGAGTTAAATACAGCCGCTGTCCACTCCTTTTACCAACCCAAAACCTCCACAAAACTCCATATATAGCCATTTTTCTGTTCCTCTGTATTCCATCATCTTCATATATGTACAGATATATACATAGAGAGATAGAGAGAATATTGAAGTACCAACGAACAGGTCACATTTCTAGTGAAATACACAAGACGATTATTTATTGGTAAAGACTCGGCCACATTAGAATTATGAACCTTTAATACATTCTTGTTCCCCCTTTTTTTCAAGAGAATAGGATTATCCATTACTCTTCTCGTTATTTGATATTAATATGGATTTCCAGTAATTTCCTACAGTTTTTAGCAATTTGATAGTAGATCGTTTAATCTCTGAGTAACCCAATTCATTTTGATTTCTAGTAATTGTAGGCCTTTTAAATTTCACAATTTTCAGTAGTATTTTGGACGAAAATCGATTGTATCAAATCTGACTCTGCTGATTTATGGAAATCTTGAAGTGCGTTCTATTGTTCTTCACATACTTAATTTGAAACCATTGAGCCTTTAGATTCGTGTTTTCGTGTATATTGGACTATATTTGGTCATAATTTTTAGGAAATTACAGTTCAAAATCCCTTGCAGAGTGTTTGCGTAATTGGGTTGGTGCAGATGGGAAGATCATTACTTTATGAGATATGGGAAAAACCGGCTACAAGTTGTATAATAGGAATATGTAATGCAATATGGTTCTATATACAGAAAAAAGAACATCGGGTATTCACATGTGGGTTTAAGTTATGATACTGCAGTGTAAGGTCACCACTGGAGGATGATAACATCAGCTTATCACATATTGGTGTTCTTCATTATTCATTAGTATTGATTGTTTTTTCAGGAATGCTAGTTCTGGGGACATACCATGTTTTGATCCAAAAGTTCAAAGTATACTATTTTAGGAGTGTTGCAGTCAGGTATTCTTTTGGGTGGATGACAATTTTGTCGGTGAAATGGACTTCATCTAAGTTGAATCTCCTTTGATTTCTCTATAAGTTTTGCTCCATTTGAGTTTCTCATCTTTACGTCTATAATTGTTCCCCAAGCGAGTTTCCGGTTACAGATCCTTCCATACCGTCTGTGCATTTCATAGCTTCAGGGGACGATAAAACCTTGCAGATGATCACATTGCCAGATTTCAGTACCGATCTTATCTTGCTTGTGGGAGAAATATTGTTCTACCATGTGCATTTGTACTTAAATACTTCGGATTTATCAGGTCATTTAACAAATGTTGTGATAAGGTGTCGCTTTTGGGAGGCTAATTTTACTGCTTTTTAGATTAGCATAAATCTCAAACGTCTTATGACACCGTATGGAAGAGTCACCCCAGCTGCTGAAACCTTGTTTGTATTATAAACTAAGTCTCACTCCATATAAATTTGGGATAAACTACTTGTGTCGTTTTTGTCCTCTTCATTCATTCATTCGATATGCATAAACCTAGCAATTGTTCTTCAATATATTTTCTTTCTCAAATAAGAAATTTAGGGAGCCAGATTTGACATACCCGTGCTTCTTCCAATGCATAATAAAGGTAAAATTTATGACGTTTTGATAGGGAATATTGAACAGTACTAGAAATAAAGGAAAGAAAAATTTGGCCAGTAATACTTTATAGTCACGTAGAATCCAAAATTGCATTCCACATGAAAAGTAAGACAAGGGGAAAAACATTACCGAATTCATTATAGGATGCAATTGCAATGTCATTCATAAATATAAACATAAATAGACTTTTAGAAGAACTAAAATTTGGCAACTAAAAATGAAAGAATTTTAAAACTATTGAATAACGATGAAGACATAAGAATCATGCTAAAATCAAGTGATATATTGCTGCCCTCAAACGGGCTAGATAACCCCCAAGTTATACCACACGATAAATATACATCAAGCAAGTACAACTTGCAATTGGGAAAATGGAAGCTGAAGGTTCAATGTACACTTCGAAGAATTGCAGAATATATTGATATCTACTAATGGGCATGGAATGCAATATCAGTTGGCAACCAGGACCTGCAAGTGATAAACTGATTAATCTCTTCTACTGGTATAAAAGAAAATGCATTAAGGTGGTTCAATTTAACTCCCAATCAAGTAATTGACCAAATGCGAATACATGTCAAAAAAATCATTGTACCGGAGCGTCATCCACAAAGTTAGAGACCCTTTCTATGCCCTTGTTTGAAACTGATTTATTGAAAATCACTTGTGTCCCACACTCATTTTGAAACACACATCTCCAAAATAAATAAATAAAATTCAAGTTTTCCATGAAATTTTAACCACATATCTTCCAAAACAAAATCACTTTTCAAATAATCACAAGCACTAAATGTGGGGTTACATATCTTCTTTTGAAAGATGGCTGTGGGCCTGACCACCCGAGTCAAATTTCATAACAGGAATTTAAACGGTAATTCTATGACATCTCCCCTTTGTAAATTTGTATAGTGTTTATGCACAACAATTTTACAGTTGTAAAGGATGATATTATTTGACCAAAGAAAAAGAACTTACAAGGATGTTAAAACGAAATATTAGCAAGTATGTGGTCGCTAAGTTTGAACTATTGATGATGATTTTTTGAAGGTTGAGGAATTTTTTAAGCCAATGGATTGAGAAACAAATATCAGGATAACATAGTCAAAAGATTCAAAAGTTATAAAGTATAGCACTAGAAAAGAATCTCAAAATGCTTGGAAGGAGAATGAAATGGCTCGTCACCCTTAGGATGCAATTTGGACCTCATTTAAACTCGAACCCGCTTCTTTCTGTTCTAAACCCAATCACCTTCACCTAGATCAAAGTGTGCTCGCCTTGACTGCTTAATCCTGCAAGTTTGGAATGCTCCAATAGCAACTCCATCCGATGTATGACCATGCATTCTCCTTGCTTTACTTGGCCCAAGCACTTGCGACAATGTCATTTCCAATGTGTCAACGTTGCCCTTCAGATCTTCTTCTTCTTTCAACCCTCTGCATATGAAATTCGACCAATGCCTCTGAAACTCCGTCATCTCATCGAGAATCACAAATGCAACTTCCAGTAGATAAAGAATTTCCAAGTTGAGGTGTTGTTGGTTAGCTTCATCTAAAAGTGGATGCACAATGCCCGAATTGTATGGTATTCCAATAGGCTCATCTTTATGGGCTAAGTCTTTAGAATCCTACAAGAAAGAAATAGCCACACTGGGGAGGGAATTGTTAGCTTTCGTTAATGTCCCTTCAACTTCACTCTCCCTTGCACATAAGCTCACTTCCAACCCGCCTTTTTCCTCTGGTAGCTCTACTCCCTTTTAGCCATTCCTTCACTCTCATTTTTATTTTCTACTTCCCTTCTCTCCATTGGATTTTCTCCATTTTTCTCACAATCAACTACCTTACTATTTTCTCTCCATTTCCCCTTTTGTTCCATCCCATGATCAATTTGAGAGTTGATCATGCGGCGAAGGTTGATAATTCCCATTTATAATCCAACCGAGTCCCCTTGCTTGATGTACTATCAACTTGCTCCACAAAAGGTATTTTCTCCTCCCATAAATATCCAACTCCATCAGCAAGATTTCTACATCACCTTTCGAGCCTATCCATCCTATTTTCCATGTTCACCATATCCACCAACAACTTCTCAAACCGCCAAAACATTCTTTTCAGTCATACCGATTGATTTTCAATTGAATTATGAGACTCAAGGACTCATAAGAATTTTGAACTGGACAACTTTGATTGGAACTTTTCTATAAATTCAAAAAAGTGGTTCTTGAATTGGAATTTGACCAGACAAAAAAGATTTTGATTCAAAGAATTAATCAGCAATATTTTTTTTACACACAAATTTTTTTGGACCATACGGATGTACAATATATATATATATATATATTTTACTCTTGGGATAGAAAAATCACCTATGACTCTAATGCAACAAATGGAAGTTATTTTGGATGCAAATTGAATTCAAAAACAACTTTTGAAATTTTTTTTTTTTGGAATTTCTATAAATTAAAGATTCAACAAAAACAAAGGCATGAAAAACACCAAGAACACCAAAATTGATGCGAAAAACGAAACAAGATTCAACAAAACAAAAAGAAAATGATATAACCTTAATTTTGTTGCCTAGGATCTGATACCAAATGATGCAAATCTAGTTATTACGGTCACTATCAAACCCTTATAATATTGACATCAGATCCCAAGAAAACTAACAACCAAGGTTTTGGACTTTACTGACAATATTGAAACCAAGCAGCCAATAACATATTAAATTATTGACCTTTTGATTACGCAAGATTAATGAATTTCCCTTGAAATTTTGGATCTGGCCCAACAATTACAAACCAAACAACCCAACAAGAATGACATTGTGAGACCTTTTGATTACAAATAATTATATAAATCATAGCCGATTTGTTGAATGCCATAAGATGGTTAATCTTGATATGTTCAATTTTTGCCCATGAAAGAACAAAGTTTTGAAGTAAAAGCTTCGAGAGAGAAAAGTCTCAATTTTTCATTATCAAAAGTCTTTTTACAATTGAAGAAATAAATCCTATTTATACTAAAAACCTAAAATAAAATTTAGACTCCTAAAATATGGATAATTACCAAAAATAAAGTATTTGCCTAAACTGGACTTCTCCCATAAAAAGGAAAAATTCTTCCCTCCCCCTTCCCCGGATCATATCAGAGAGGGAGGGAGAGAAAGAGAGGAAGGACAAAATCAACTTGGCCAAATGGGTTTGCTAAGGATTTGATTCAATGTTATCTTACGTTTCACGTATCTGATCCCAAATTTATTTAAAATAAGTTTTATTTGATGGTGTGGGTCATTATCAGCTACATTTCCCAGCTACTAGCAATGATGTCATACTTAAGGGCAGAAATGCAATAATTTCTTCAAGCTGGAGTCAAATTTCTAAAATCTAGTAGTAACTTAATACACTCTAGGAGTATGCTAGCTAATAATATGCTAGTTTTTTGTTACGAATTTTATTGTGTGTCCAAAAAGTAATACCTATAACTTGTCACTTGTCAGAACTTTTGTGGTCAGCATCCCCATTGACATGTGCCGCATGGGAGTTGGACTCATTTTCTTGACCACCTGGCTTAGTAAGTTGGGAGAAGCCCTGACCATGTCATTTCCGAAATCTCATTGGAAGAGACGATTATAAATACTCCATGCTCTTCTGAGAATGTAGTTCAATTTGCCTTGCTAAAGCAGTATTAAGCCCAAAAAATCTAACGGCTCCTAAGATTCTTTCTGGGAACTCGGGTTTAGTTTGACCCTCGATGAGAAAAGAAAAGTCAACAGTAAGTGTTGTTATGTAACCAAATGCTAGATGAACAATTGAATTTGCAACCATTGAAGATCCAAATGCCAACATTAGAACTCATAACCATAATTTATGTTGAGTTGTAACTAGAAAATATTAATGAATGATGAAACTGTGAAATCGCAAATGCCAACATGTATTTTTGTGCCTGATACCCAAGTACGATATGCACTCTTTTTTTTTATTTAAATAAACTCCAGATTTTATAGATCAGCCCTCACATATGGCAGAGGAATACCATGAATACAAACTCCACATTACAAATTCACTTTAAAGAGAAACTTTTATTAACGTCGTACATATGGAAAATGATTTCTGTTTGATATAAATAACTTGGTAACGGCCCCAGGAAGATCTGCCATATCACGAAATGTTGCCGTGCTTCCATTTCCACCTATTTTAAATAATGCGTCTGCAACTTGATTTGCTTCCTGGAAAACATGTCTGAACACCACTTCTCTTCCAATCATGAGATCATTTATCTCCTCCCATGCTTTCCAAAATTTCCATCATGTACATCGTTTATTAAGGAACCAGTTCACAACAACTTGAGAATCACTTTCAATTATAATCTTTGGGAAATTTCGTTCTACACATATGTGGATGCCTTCCAAAATAGCTTTTAGCTCCGCCCATGTGTTAGTACCGTGACCATAGAAAGTGTGAAAAGCATAGATGAACTCTCCATTATCCGCCCTGATCACTCCACCTCCACCTCCACCACAATTACTAGGATTTCCTATGCAACATCCATCAATGTATAATTTAACCCAGGTAGGGAGAGGAGGTATCCAACGGACAAATTTAGTGACTTTATTATGTGGTTTTCTGATTTGGATTCCCAAAGTTCGTAGTGCAATACAATCGGACGAAGATAGTGTAGATACCTTAGCCGCATTGGCACATAGTTCACCCAACCACCACTTCACTGAAGCCCAAATCTGATCATAATTAATGTCCACACCTTCCATCTTTTTTCTACACCTTGCTGTCCAAATCGCCCAGAAAATCAGAACAGGAGAAAAGCCAATAATCATGCCTACTTGGGATGTTTTTGATGCCTTGGAGAACCAAAAATTCATTCTTTGTCTCCAGCCCAAAGATGGAGTGTTAGCGATGCCTGTCGTTGTCAATATTTGATTCCAAAGAAATTCTGCCAGGTCGCTGCCATCCAACAAATGGTTGAGAGACTTACAGTGAGGTGTAACACAACATACACATTTTGATGCTAAGGGGATCCCCACCATTTGTATTTTTTCATCCACAACGAGTGCATTCTGTATAGCTTTCCAAGTAATGAAAGAGATTCTTTTTGGAATTAGTGGATGCCTGTACCCATTTATCCCAATCTACACTCTCCCGTTTGTCTCGAATGAGCTCCCAAGTATTCCCAGTGCTGAACAAGCCATCTGGAGAGGGTTTCCAAACAACCGTATCACTCCTTCACGTAACTTTGGAACAAAGTCTATAGCAGCTTTAGCTAAATTATTCCCGATTAATTCTGATAAGACATCTTCATTCTACCCCTTGAGGTCACCACCGCGTTTAGCCTCAAATCAGGTTCCACTACCTCCACCAGGTTTGCTAATGGTCCTAGACCAGACCAATTTTCTTGCCAGAAATTAACATCTCCGCTTTTTATGTGCCACACCGAATTTTCAATTGCCGTAGGTATCAAACTTGCTATGCTCTTCCAAAAAGGTGAGAAATATTTTGCTTTTAGGAACTCTTGTAGTAGAGAAACTGAGAAACAAATTTTCCAAGCAAATCTTATTTTTAGAGCCACTTGTACTTCTGCTAAGTCTCGAATGCCTAATCCTCCTTCTGATAATGGTTTGGTAATTTTTCCAAAGCTTACCCAATGTCACTTTGCTTTACCATCTGCCTCTCGCCAAATAAAATTTGAGATTAAAGAATGAATTTGATGAATAACCCCTTGAGGTATGCAAATAACCGATAAGATATGTATATGCATACTTAAAAGAACATGCTTTACAAGAGTTAATCTTTCTCCAATTGATAAGAGTAAAGATTTCCAGCCAGATATTTTCTTTCTCACCTTCATAATCAGCGGCTCGAAATGTCTGATACATAAATGACCTAGGGCTATTGGAGCCCCCAAATATGTGATTGGAAAAGACCCTTGTGTGAAGTTACTCAAACAGAGTGATTCATTTTTCCTTTGTAAGGACATGTACTTCAAGAAAAATATTGCTGATTTCCGGTGATTCACTTTCTGCCCAGACATATTTTCATAAATGCCTAGGATTTCCACCACTGCTTTAATAGACGCTTTATTGCCATTACAAAAAATAATTAGATCATCAGCATATAGTAGATGAGAGATACGAGGTGCCCAACAGGGAGAGAGTAAATTCCAATGCGTTGTTCCAAACAAGCCTTTCTTAACACGCGTGTAAGAGTCTCCTCAACAATAATAAACAAATATGGAGAGAGGGGATCTCCCTGACGAATTCCCCGGAAAGATTTGAAAAATCCCCGATAAGTGCCATGCATCATCACCGAGAATGAAGGTGCGTCAATACAGTTTTGTATTAATTGGCAAAATTGTGTAGAGAAGCCGAAAGTGTTTAAGACTGCCTCAAGAAATTCCATTCAACCCTATCGTATGCTTTCATCATATCTACTTTAAGCATTACATTTCCTCCTTGTATCTTCCTGTTAAAACTCCGAAGCAATTCTTGTACCAAGGCAATATTGTCAAAAATACTCCAGCTCCTTCAAGGTAAATTTTGGAAGTAGAGGTTTCAATCTGTTCGCAATTACCTTAGCAAAGCATTTGTAAATCACTGAACATAGGCTAATGGGCTTGAAGTCTCCAAAGCCGCCAGGACCTTTGACTTTTGGGATAAGTACAATGTAAGTTGATGTGTAAAAATTGGGTAGCATAGACCCACTAAAGAAATCAACTGCAGCCTCCCAAACATCTTCTTCAACGATATCCCAACAGCTCATATAAAAACTCGATGAGAAACCATCAGGTCCCGAGCTACTATCCTGTGGAATGCTTTCCATCACAATTTTAACTTCCTCGTGGGATGGAGCCTCACACAATCTGGTATTATCTTCCAATGATATGCTCGGTGTAATCAATGAGTTCAAAAGTTCAACCCTCGGTATGACATTTTCGGTCGTAAGTAGCTCATGGAAGAATTTTACAGCTCCATCATGAACTGCTTGCGGGCTGTCAAGTGTGGATCCATCCTGTAATGTCATCCTGTAATACGAAGATTTTTTTCGACGTTTTGCAATTGACGTATGAAAGAACTTGGTGTTGGCGTCCCCCTCATTTAGCCATTTTACTTTGGTTTTTTGTGCTAAGCAAATTTCTTCCCGCTTAATCCAATCCTTCAATTCAAGTCTTGTTGCAATTAATTCCTTTTCGTCTTGTGCATTTTCGAAATTTAAGACTTGATCTTCTAGTCTAACAATTTTGTCTTCTAGATCCACAATGCGACATTTGATATTCCCAAAGCCGATTTTGTTCTACTTTCTCAAAATTGGTTTTAGCCTCTTCATTTTTTCTCCAAGTTTGAATAAACCTGAGCTTCTAGTTGGCTTCTCCCAATTTTCTTTGACAAGGGGTAGAAAGTCGGCATGATCTACCCACATCCATTGAAAATAAAAAGGTGGTGGACCATAATGTTCTTGCTGCGCCAAAAGTTGAACTTACAATGGGCAATGATCAGAGCTGGATCTAGACAAAACCTTAGCACAAGCCATTCTAAAGTGGGTTAGAAAAGAATTATTAACTAAAATTCTGTCCAACTTTTCCCAAATACAACTAATTCCTTCTTGTAATTTGCACCATGTAAAAATAGTGCCTTCTGTTTGGAGTTCTTGTAGGCCACAGTTTGATATACAATCATTAAATTCTCGATTTGGGAGATCTGGTTTTGGTGTCCCACCAACCTTTTCAGCATCGCTACGAAATATATTGAAATCACCACCGACTATCCAACGTATGTCTTGTTGTGGTATAGAAACCAACTCCCTCCATAAATCTACATGACCAATTTGAAAGTAGCTCGCGTAAACCACTTTGACTAGACAAGAAACTCCATCCTTAGTAAATATACTAGTGATATGTTGACGTGAAACCATTACTTCCTCAAATAATAAGTCATCCTCCCAAAAAAGCCAGATTTTCCCATTGACTAAATGATTAGAAAAACAGTTGTGAAGACGTAATCTGCGTGCCCATCTTCTAATCTTCAAAATAGATTGTACAGGTTCCAAAATTGCTACAACACTTGGATTAAATTTAACCATCATATCATTGAGTTGGGTTCTTGATGTTCCCAGACCTCGAACATTCCATATCAATATTTTGTCTATCATTTAGAAGAAGTTTTAAAGCGTGTTATTAACTCTGACAGCATTACAAATTTTTTCTTCTTCTGACGTTGAGGTATGGTGGTTCCTTCCTGTCTCATTTTTCCATCTTCACCCTCCAGGTCCTCGCCATTTGGACATGTGACAGAAATTTTTTTCTGTTGCAATAGTTCAAAAAAATCTGCAATTTGATTATTATTCAAATCCACTTGACTTGGGGGCTGCACCAAAGTGTTCGTTTTCTGTATTTGTTCCTCTGAAATATTCACTTCTACTTCAATCGCCTCCTGCACGTGTTGAATAAAAATTTCCTGTTGTATTAAGTCTCGGTGGTCACCAAATTCCTGGGGAAGAAGATCATTCTCTGTGTTTCTCTCCAGTGATAAGCACCCATCCTGATGTTGAACAAGAATCTGTTCAGTGAGTTTGCCATCTTCTTCAAGCAAAATAGTCTCCACTTTAGTCTCCACAATGGAAAGAGGCATTTGTTTCTCTAGCTCGTCCTTATTCTCATTCATTCCGGTTAATACTTCAGTCATTTCCCCTATAACCTAATTTTCTGAAGATGTTGGATCCAAAGATAATTTGTTCTTTGATGTTTCCCCCTCTTCCATTGTGCGTATGATAGGTCTATAAACTTGGCGCATATGGTTTTGCTTTATCAGATGATCTTCTATTTTGGTTCTGTCGTCCACAATCTTTTTTCCCTGGATATATTTAAGTTTCCTGCAGGTTCTATTAGAATGGCCCTGGATATGGCAGTGTTGACAGAATGCTGGTAAAGTTTCATAAACAATTTCTTGATGGTGGCTCGAACCATGCCTAGGAGGGCCAATCCAGAAAGAATCCAATCTTGGTTTCGTCAGATCCATCTCCACACATACTCTTGCCCCCACGGGTCGTGAACCACATATCGTGGCATTGTCACGCTTCAGAAAACGTCCGATTTCCCCGACCAAAATTTGCAAAGTTGATTGATAGAAGAAATTAGGGGGCAGTCCAGGAAGGAAGATCCATACCGGAGCAAAAGGAGGTTCTTTGTCTTCTCTAAAATCCAATGTCCATTTGAACAATCTGTACGACACGCCATTGATGTCACATATCTCCCTTGAACAGGCCGTTACAAAATCTGCTTCGTTGGTAATGCGTATCAGAACATGTCACGGATTTCTCATGGCCCTAGTTACTGGCATCTCTGAGAGTCCCCATCGTAATCTGATGTATCCCCGAATGTCATCAACAGATGGGCGTTTCCTCAAGAATTTGAGAACTATCGCATACTTCAGAGGATCAGACGTTTTTTTGGATTTCTTCATGTGTGAATTGATACCATACTTGGCCATCAGGACTCGTCTTTGGCACTTTCCATGGAATTTCAATGTTTGGTAGAGAAGTTGGCTTCCCCACCACTATATCAACAAATGTTCTTCCTCTATCCACCATAGCTATCACTCCTCCGCCACCCAGTTGTGTAGGTGGCGATGCCCTAGGGTTGGCCATGGTGGTTGCCCTAGTAGAAAGGAAAAATCGCCCCTCCATAAATTTCGCACTTACCTAATTTGTAAAAAGGCAAGGTTTAACTCCGTCAAGCTGCCCAATACGATCTGCACTCATTCAGCCAAATTAATTCCAATGCTAAATCAATAATTCTTGCAACCACAAAAAAGGGAGAAGTAAAAAAGCAAACAAGACTATAACTAATCGATAAGCATATCTACGAAGAAAAGGTATAATCTGATTTATGCTGCAACATATTCATTATATTGAGTTGGTGACGATAGATTAATCCAAGATCAGGAACCAAGAAACACCTTTCGTCTTCATCTAGAATTTCAATTCTAGGTTTCTTATGAGGCGTGTAGAATTTGGCTGGCCTATAAGAAGCCAAGTTACTCTGCTGAGACACTAGTAGCTGAGGTGCTCTGTCTGCTGCTAAAGCCTATGGCAATAGAACAACGATTGAAAACCACTTGTGTTCACCAAACTCAAGTTGGTCATTTTGCAAGTGCTAAAAAATGATTAATAATGGAGCAATTTGCCCAAAAATAAATACGCACTATATTTGAATGGAAGAAGCTAAAAATTAAAAGGATTGTAAGCTTTCGTATTTATGAATGTGGTCAAAATGAAAGCTTCAAGAAAATGTAGATAAAGACGTTTTGCAGTGTGTGAACACCTTTCAGATATCTAATAGTCCACATCACAGCATTTGCAATGAGATTTCTCATCGTAAGATCAAAAGTCGGCATGCATGAACTTAAAACACGATATCGCACTTCTCTTGTGCTAGATCAAGATCTTAATCTAGTGATATGATACACATTTTACTAGAAAATATTCATATTTTACATGAAGAGTCTCCACCATAATCCGTTATGTCTGTATAGTCACATTGATCTATCATATTAGGGAAGCATAAACAAACTTAAATCATAAATTCTAGCAAGCTCAAAATCTAAATTATAAACTTTTGCTCCAATTATTTACGCTTTTATAGCATGAAATTTTGCCTAGTTAATATTCAACAACATTACCTTTTTTGGTTTTGATCACTTAGGGGGCGTTTGATAGCCATTTTTATCTAAAAATGCATTTTAAATAGTAACTTGATGGGAAATGTGTGGTTGAAAAATAAGAATTTTTTTTTTGATTTACGTGTAATATTATTTTAATAAAAAATGTGTGGTTGAAAAGAAGAGAGAGAGAAATGCATTTTGAAAAAAATGGGTACCAAACGGGGGCTTAATCTTAAAGGCAATAAGCTTTTCAATCATATTCCTGCTTCGAAATAAGAATGGAATGAAGGAAAAAATGTGATAAATTATCATAATAGAAGATGCCATGGATTTTAAAATACAAATAATTGCATATATTTTGTTATTTGCAGCTTTGTAATTGATGTATTTTAAATCAGCTACAATGAGAGGAGGTTCATATTCATTAATGTACAAAAGACAAATCCAGCTGTAGGTAATGAAATCCCAAGAGAGGAAATTATTTCATTTGTTGTAGAAAAGTAATAAAAGAACATAATCTTGAATACTAAAATAAGTGACATACTAATTAGCATGCAATTATAAATTAAGTTAACAATCCACATTTATTCCCCATCGCTAAGTTAAGGCTTGATCATAGGCTTATTGTAAGTGTTAGGCTCTAAA